TTAAAACTTTTAAAACTTTTAAAACCTTTAAAACTTTTGAAACTTTTAAAACTTTCAAAACTTTTAAAACTTTTAAAACTTTTAAAACTTTCAAAACTTTTAAAACCTTTAAAAGACGAAACGACACGAGGCCACGGGTCAAATAATACATAAAGGGTTCTCTTACATATATATATATATATATATATATTCTTTTTTTTTCACAACACGCGAGAATCACTTAGGCCCTAAGCCCTAAACCCTAAACCGTATCTCGGCTTTTAAACGTCTGGCAGATCTTAGGTTCCAGGCGCTTTAGAGCTTGGGCGTTTTGGGGAGTTTGTGTAGGGGTTTTAGGGCTTAGGGTTTAGGGTTTAGGGTTTAGGTTTTTATGGCTTTGTGGTGGGTGGTCGGGATTTTTCAGGATGTTGAAGGGGCTTGCAGATCGTGAAGTTTAGGGTCTTAGGGTTTGGGGTTTGGGGTTTTGCGGCTGAGAGTTTGAGGATTTTGGCATTTTGCGGCTCAGGGCCCCTCAACCCTAAGCCCTAAAGGTGTTAGGGGCTCTGGCTTTGGAGTATATACCATACCTTAGTAAAAGAGCCCATTCTGAACTTCCTTGGTTACTTCTAGGAGCCCTAACCCCTACACTGCTTAAGGCTGTGTAGGGCTTGAAAGTTTCGGTGTACGGGTTTAGGGGTTGGGGTTCCAGCGTCTTGGTTTTCAGGCTTTAGCTTCAGGGCATTAGGGTTTTGAGGCTTTGGGAGCTTAGGTTTAGGGGTTTAGGGATTTTGTATATTTTTTTTGGGGGGGTTATGTTTCGAGTTTAGGGTTTTTGTTTAGGTTTTCTAGGGTCGGGCGTGTGGAACCACGATTGATGATACAAATCCTGCATTATCTAATACTAAGGAATATACCATGATTCCCATAGTTTGGGGTCCTTAAGTTAATGCGGGATCTATATCGTCAACACTAGGTTCAGGGTTTGGGGGTCGAAAGGTTCAGGCTTCATGGTATAATATAGAAGCCCAAATAATTACCAATATTACTGTTAGGGTCCTTTGCTATAACTATACTATAAAGGACACCAAAACCCTTTTCTAATTATAAAGGCCCCTACATTAGGGGTTCAAATCTTCGGGCTGATAGGTGTAGGGTTTTTGAGGGTTGGGGTTTAGGGTTTAGGGGTTTAGGGTTTAGGGTTTAGGGTTTAGGGTTTAGGGATGTTCAGGTTTAGGGTCAAAAGGAAGGCATAGCAAGTTTAATGAAATTTGCAATGCGGTTCTTTTCCCATCGATGCTGGAACCCTAAACCCCAAACCCAAAACCCTAAACCCTAAGCCCTAAACCCTAAACCTAAACCCTAAACCCTAAACCCTAAACCCTAAACCTATACTAGAATGTTCGCAAAGCATCCCGAGACCCAATTCCAGCGATCAAGTGCCTTGTCTTCGGGCCTTTCTGGAGCCAGTGGGCTTTCGGGTTTTAAGTTTTCGGTTTTGGGTTTAGGATTTTAGGGTTTGGGGTTTAGGGGTTTGGGGTTTAGAGTCCTATAGATCGTGAACCCTGGTATTCATTGGGTCTAGGTAGCCTTAGCTTTGAAGGGTTCACTTCTCGAAGGTTCCTTGTCATCCGGATCCCTAAACCCTAAACCCCAAACTCTAATCCGCAAACCCCAAACCCCAAACCCTCTAAACCCCAAACCCCCGAAACCCCCAATCCCTATATGGGTAGTTCTCTAAACTAGGGTCTCCTTTTCGGTCCCCAATATAATACGGCACCCTTATAAAAAGGACCCCCAAAGGGACCCTAATTTAGAGAACTACCCATATTCCTTCCTCTGTAGGACTAGCAAGGATGAGCCTGAATCTGGGCTTTGGAGAATGTGCGCTGTCCCCGTTGCGGAAAGAAGACCGGTGTAGGGTTTGGGGTTTGGGGTGTAGGGTTTAGGGTTTAGGGTGTAGGGTTTAGGGTGTAGGGTTTAGGGTTTAGGGTGTAGGGCTTCGGGCGTTTAGGGGGAGTTTGTGGTATTTTTTTGTCTTTGCGATGTTTGGGTTTTAGGGGGGGGGTTTATAGAGGTGCTTAGGGTTTCTTTGAGTTGCGGAAGTCGGGATAGCCTCCCCTAAGCCCTAAGCCCTAAACCCTAAACCGTCTCTAGGTTCGCCAGTAGTACCCTTTTGCCCTTTTTGTTTTGGGGGTTTCCTTATTAAAACCGAATATGGGGAAAAAGGCTACCCTTATTACTAGGGGGCTACTGGGGAACCTATAGGTCTTCAAAGTCTCTATTGACGATCCCCGCCGTTGTACGGCGGACAAAATTAAATCCTTCAGCGAATCATCCTGCTGTTTCCCAAGGGGTCCCGAGCTTCCTATCTTTTCGGGGGAGACCTGCCCAAACCATAGCGGTAGTATAAGAAAGCCTACTTGATAGACCATGTAAGTACGTACTTAGTACCGTAAACCCTCATGGCACCCTTAAAAAGGAACCCCTAAGCCCTAAACCCTCATCGCACCCTTGAAAAGGAACCCTTAAACTGCCCTCAAAGGAACTGTCAAGGTGCCCTTTAAAGGAACCCTTACTTTAGACCATGGTGGGTGCTCAGTATCCCAAGCCTTAACCTCTCCTTGGTACCCCTTTTATAAGGAAGCCTTGAAGTAGCCTCAAATTAAAAGGCCCCTTAAAAGGGCCTCATAATAATGTTAGGATCCTTTGAGGAAGCAAGTACTTGTAGGAGCCTAAGGGTAAGCATACCAGCAAGGCCTGCAAGTCCTTCAGGCATCGCGCCAAGCTCAGGTATGCAGCTTTGATTGATAATATACATATATATACACATATTTATTTGTTTATTATAGGGGGCAAAATAGTTTCCGAGGTTCCGTATTAGTACATTTATAGTATAGTGGGCCCCAAAACGTTAGTCTAATTATTGAGGCCCCTACATTACTCCTCCCGAACATCTTTCGTCTGCATGGTGTGTTCTGTTTCGAGGACTAGAGATTAGTTTCATCACGCGGCTCCTCATCACAAGCTTTGTCCGCAGCTCCCGAAGCCCAGATGATGATTTGAAGTGTGGCTGGACTGTAGCGGACGGCGCACCATTGTTTACAATGATAAGTATACCATATTATATATTATGTTCGTTTATACTATGTTCTATTATACTATGTTATACTATTCTATTATACTATGTTATGTTATACTATATGCATTTGCAGGCCTGTCGTCTTGTGTTAGGAGCTTGCGGGCACCGTCACCCAGCAGGGTGGAAGACAGTTTCTCACTACCTTCAGGCGGTAGCCACGGGAGGTCGACAGAGCCATGCCGCAAATAGCGGAGACGGTGCTGGGTAAGCCCGAGCCGGATCAGGTTCTGCCGGCGGTGTTGGTCGGAGTCGAGAACCAAATTCCGTCTGAGTTTTTAGAAGTTGGCGAGGTGTCGCCCGACGTCGAGGACCGTGGTCTCTACAGTCCGACTACATGTTCCATGGGTTCAAGACAAGATGAAGATCACGACAAGGCTGGTCAGCTGATGCAGCTATACATAGCTTTCGTCCATGAGATGAGAGCGACACGTCCAGAAATACTACGTGGTGTGCGCGTTTGGCAACTGATGCGTTACTTGCCGTGGGCTTGGCTACGAGGCCAGCTAGAAAATCTGCATGTATTGAGCCAGGAAACAGCCAATCTCGATCAGTTCTGGTCTCACAGCTGGCGGGGGGCAGGTTGGGCCAAATTTACCAACATACTTTACCTCCACAGTTGCATGCCAGCGAGCATTGCAGGAACACTGAGCGCAGTTTTAGCCTTCTGCCTTGTGGCAGCAGGGCTTTTGGGTGCGCTACAGACATACTGCATGCTCTTCGGGTGTGTGGCCTTCTGCATCACCCTGCTGCTTTGGCGTCCGCAGCTGGGCTTTGAAGTACCATACCTTAATACTTTTTTCGGGACCTGTTCCTTAAAGGAACCATTATGAAATAAAAGTCTATACTTTTGTCTCCCTGGTTACTTCAACGCCCAGGCAGAAGTTGGTGTTTCTGGACATCGCCTGCATCCATCAGACAGATGAAGAACAAAAGGGAGACTAGGCTTTCCAGTAGGACCCTAGGATTTAAAGGACTTAAGGTTTAAGGCTTTAGGGTTTACGGTGATTTATAGGATTTAAGTTTTAGGGTTTAAGGGTTTAGGGCTAGGTTTCCCAGTAGGACCCTTTTGCCCTTTTCCTTTTTGGGTTCCTTTTTATTTCAAACCCACATCGTAGGAAAAAGGGGCACCCTGATTTCTAAGGGCTTATACCCTAAACCCTAAACCCTAAACCCTTTATACTGGGGAAAACCGCAGGAGAGGCAATCATGAGTATGGGTGCATTCCTGAAGCAGTCGAAGTCCATGCTGGTTCTCTGGGATCCTACGTGGGTGACAAGACTGCCACCTGGTCAAAGGGTCCAAAGTACCTATATAGTAGAATGTAGGCTGTATCCCCCATAACAGTACCTAGGACCCTTGGGGTTAGGGTTTCGGAGTTAGGAGTTAGGGCCCTTGAGGTTTGGGGTTCACGGTCTTCCGCAAGCCCGGCCTGAGTCAACGAAGGTGGTGCGTCTTCGAAATCGCTGCCTTTCTCCATAGCCACAGGCCCGATGGTGACTGGGCTTGGGAGTACCATACTTTGACATGTTTTTTGGGACCTGTTCCTTAAAGGAACCATTAAACCCTAAACCCTAAACCCTAAACCCTAAACCCTAAACCAAATAAAAGTCTCTACTTTTTTCTCCCTTTTGTACTTCAACGCCCAGGTGAAGCAGGTCTCCAGCTCGTACCGCCTCTATTGGGGCCAGCCTTTCTGGGAAGTGCCTTGGGGACCAAAGGACCCTTTTAAGTAGGAGGGCTAGGGTTTAGGGTTTAGGGTTTAGGGTTTAGGGTTTAGGGTTTAGGGTTTAGGGTTTAGGGTTTAGGGTTTAGGGTTTAGGGTTTAGGTTTAGGGTTCAGGGCCCTATACCCTTATGCTATGAATCCCTTTATTTTATATGAATCTGCAACCCTTTTAGGGATCATTTCGTCCTTAAGGTGAGATGCTGATCTGGGCAGCGAGCATGATATACACCTACATAGAGACCTTCGTGGCCTCTTCGGAAGGTTCACTAATTGAGGGGGTGCACCATCTGATGCTCGTCGGCATCGTTGCCCTTGTGATGGTCGGTTTGGTGACCCACGCTCTTCGAGGATATGCCCGCAGCGTTAATACGCTGCAGGAGCAACTCCGTGTGTTCAAGGCTGAGCAGACGCGCAGCGCTTGCTGCGAGAACGGCCACGAAGACGATGTCCTATGCGACCGTACGATCATTCTTGAGAGCATAGCCGCGTGGTATAATTCACTGGACAGCTTTGAAGAGCAGGTGCAGACTGAAGTGCGGATGGCCATCATCGATCAGCTTGAAAACAGAGCCATCTCTTATCAACGCATCTTACTTCTTTCAACTTCATATCTCTGGCTTCGCCTTGAGCACGCGACTGTCCATGCAAATGACCCCATCCGACAAGTAGTCAATTGGGCGCAGACGCTCACTTATTACCTGGCAATTTTCCCTTTGATGTACAAGCTGGGCTTCCGGTTGTGCTTCCGCTTGCGAGCACGATGCTGCAAGCTGTACTTGGACTTCTTTGTGTCAATTGCTATCGTGATCGCAGCGTTCTCGTTCTACGTTGCTTGCTATGTGATCCAAGTCTATGTCTTCCGTCAAAACGACCGGTTGCTTATGTGGAGTTTGATCTCAATGTTGTCATGGTGGACTGTCGCAGCGATCCTGTGGCGATTCCTCAAATGACGCTTCGAGCCTGAAGCTTTGAGCATCGAGCACTCATAAACCCTAAACCCTAAACTCAAGGGACCCGTGAGGGCCCTGAGCCAGTCTAGGATTTGGACACTTCGTCTACGGTCGACGCGAGTTGAGATCCGGATGAAGTTGGCATGTTTTTGAAGTACGTCGTTATCATCATCGTCATCAACAGCATCATTAGCATCACCCTCGTCAACGCTGTCATCATCATCATCATCGTCGTTCTTCATCCACTTCATCATCATACTTATGATGACCACCATCATCATCATCACCCTTAACCCTACACCCTAAACCCTAAACCCTAAACCCGAAACCCTACACCCTAAACCCTAAACCCTACACCCTAAACCCTAAACCCTAAACCTTACACCCTAAAACCCTGAAGCCCTAAACCCTAAAGCCTAAAGCCCCCATCATCCCAAGTGCCCCCGAGCCGGACAGATTTTCGAGATCCTCGGCGAAGGGCCGGGGTTTCCTTGTTACCTGGCCGGGGTTCTTTACCTAGGTTCCCCAGGGGCTTAGGGGTTTAGGGTTTGGGGTTTAGGGTTTAGGGGTTTAGGCTTTAGGGTTTAGGGGTTAGGGTTTAGGGGTTCACTTATTAAAACCAGATGGTAGGAAAAAGGGTACCCTTATTTTTAAGGGGCTACTGGGGAACCTAGTTACTAGCTCGCACCTTATGCTTGTTTTCAAGTTCCCGAAATGGCTCCCATGGAGGTACTGTACCTAGTCATCAATTTCTTTTATTGGCACTAAAACGACAACCCGGTTTTTCAAAACCTTAAACTCTGAACCCCAAAACCCAAAACCCTAAACCCAAAACACCAGACTAATGCTCGAAATAGCCCAAAAGCCCTATATGGTTTGGTCTTTGCGCCCAAAAGCCTTCGAAGATGACTCCTATTTGAGCCTTATAGGGAACTTACACCCTAAACCCTAAACCCTAAACTCTCCTTTGAGCCTTATAGGGAACTTATAAACCCAAGACCCTGGAGGGTCCCCGAGATTCGAGCTGCCAAAGAGCGTCAAGCGAGCTCGAAAAACATGTGCGCAGAGTTCAGGCTCTAGGGTCATTCCTTACGGGGCTCCTGGTTCTAACTTGAATAAAACCCAAAAGCCCCATCGGCCGGGGGCTGAAGAACTAGCAATAGTACTCCATATATATATATATATGTATACATATGTACATATATATATATATGTATATGTACATGTATATGTATATAGAAATATATGTTTTAGTTGTATTTGTTTATGTACATGTATTGGGTGCTTCCCCGCCCCATT